ACTTTGTGATGGAAAAGCTCAAAACTCATCATTTCAGCGTCAAGCGTCAAGTTTTTCAGCAGAGATCAAATATTTCCAAAATGAACGAATAATTCTACTATAAATAATTCTCTTGGTAACAGCTGGTCGATGCTTCACAGTTTTTTCACAGAGAATAAAGTGACTAGATCGTTTTAATCCGGATAAGACCTGTATTACATTTAGTTATCTGATAGTATCTTGGCTTCAATAAACTTTACGCCAAAATTCACTAGCTCCCATGCTCCTCACAAAACCACACTTTTACTGAGACGTAAATGCACAAACTTACTATTGCTTGGGACTGAGGCCTTCTTGTTGATATTGGTAGCGCGCGTGCCCAAACTGGAAGCAGCTGAAGTATTGGAGGGTTATGCACCCCTGAAAGTCCTCGGAGCACCATATCTATATTGTTGATGCGAGGGGCCACCTTTGAGATCTTCAATTGCTCGCATGACATCAGCATTTGAAGGAGCCCAAACGAATCGGGACGAAGCGTAGGCGTCGGCTCCGTCCCGTTCAGTGAAAGGGCTGCGGATGAAATGTGTATTAGGTGTGTGAAAAAGTAATCGACGTTTTTAACGTTTAAATATAAAGGACCATAAGTTTGGTTAAAAATAATTTTTATTCAACGAAGTAATCACTATCTGAAAGAACAATCTTTTTGCCAACGTTCTACAAGCAAAGAATATTCCACGATAATAAAAATCTTGGTCCTTAGAGGTGCGAAGAAAAGATCAACCTCGGTTTGGACATCTTCTTCGGAATTGAACCGTTTATTGGCCAAAAAGTTAGACAGAGACAAAAATAAATAATAATCAGATGGAGGTGCTGTCTGGACTCTAGGGCAGATGTGGTAAAACCTCCCATCCAACACTCTGGATTTTTTGTCGAGTCTGTAAAGAGACATGTGGTCGCGCGTTATCGTTCATGCGGTATCCATTTGTCCAACTTTTTGACAAAATTCATGGCATTCGCGCTGCTTCCTTACGGTTGACCCATCACAATTTAATGTAAGGCCTATTTCTGAAGAGGTTGAACGAGGGTTTTCGAGAAAACAGCGTCTTGTTTGGTCATCAGAACAGGTCTCAGGGCGACTGCCACGTGGTTCAACTTCTAGGCTTTCATTACCACCTTTGAATCGTCGGAACCAAAACCTAGCGGTATCATCAATAACGGTGTCTTCTGCCAAACGCATTCCGAATTCGACTAGCAGCCTCCGCAGCTTTCAACCCATTTTTTGAACTCATAAAGCAAATTTGACCGAATAACGATACTTGTGTATGCTCATTTTCAAACTAAAATGAAAGTAGTTTATTGTCGTCCTTTTAACAAAATTAACATATCATTCGAAAGAGGAAAAATAAAGCTTTTAAACGATATATACATCGTTAACAAAAAATTCAAAATTGTTTAGTGATATTTATTTAAACAAAATAAAAATAAAAAACGTCGATTACTTTTTCACACACCTAACACTTTCGTTTGATCGGCGGCTCTTCTTTCATCAGTTGTGTGGTGATCAGCAGATCAACAGAGTTTGTGAAACCAATCTGAAAGACGGGCAGGTCAAATTACAGTTGAGTGCCGATTTTTCCCTATGTATCCCTCCGTCCGTTTGCTCTGATATGTCAAAATTTCGATTCTATCCCCTAAAATTACCCAGAAAAATAAAAAGGTGAAACGAAACAACAACACAGAAAACTACAAATTAACACTTGCATTTTAGAACTCGATGAATCAACTATCGGCTCTGCATGCAAATAGGGGAAAGGCGAAAAGTAAGAATAGTTTTGTAGGTTTGGCGAGTCAAGCAAGCTAATACTTGGTGACGCCGACCATAGCGACAACGAAAACAACAACAACTGTCTGTATTCAACGATTTTGTGAGGGTTCTACGTATTCGTGTAGATCGAAAGGAGTAGTAAGCATTGTGATAAGCAACGCTTAGCCCATTCACTCTTTGAGATGTGCTATCAAAAAGTCGACATCAACGGGATTGTCATCAGTGCTCTACCTGGAGGTACAAACCCAAACCATCCATATTGTCGGTGTCACAATGGTGGATTCACAGCCTGCAGTTGCGTTCATTGTCGTGATCAGAATCCCACTTGTGCTGGTTGTTACACGGATGGATATTACTTTATTGATGAGCTCAACTATGGATGACAAATAAATAAATGATTTGCATTTGCGTTCCAATTTTTTCTCTGATTGACAAATCCTTTATAAATCTCATCAAGAAACATTAGAAACAACACTAGAAAAACAATTGAATACTATGCAATCAATAAGCTAAAGATTGAATATTTTCTCTTTTATCCAGCTGCCACTTTTGGAACGCAGAGTCCACTGGCTGGATTGACTGGAGCATTTAAGGGACATTTTGAACCAATGGCACCACCAGTTGCGTAAATTGGAATCTCCGCAGATACTCCCCTAAAAGTTTTGCATAGACTTTTGCTAAGAAATTACATTTCAATCACTTATCAATCTCTTACTTTTGCACGAGCCGACAAAGGATCGCATAGGTTTGCAAGTCGGTCATATTTCTGTAGGCGCAGCCGATTTTCTGTGTGTCGCCCGAAATGCGATTCGGAACTTTTTGCTGTTTATTTTTCTAGAATATAGCCAATGACCAGGGTTTTTTCAGCTTTTCACCTGTTGAATGTGATTTCTCGCGTCGGCACTGGTCCATTCAGAGAAATATCCGTGAATGACGTGCGGATAACGTTGATAGATCAAACCACCAATAACACCTTCAAGTTTCATCCTTCCGTACCAGTTTTTCGTCCACGTATCGTCAACTAAAATAATTCTAGTCGGTTTAATAAAGGGCTAATGGAACTCTAACAATAAGATTTAACAGCTTCAAAGTCTTGACAGGCCAATTCCAAGAAAACTCACAGTATTGTTGAGCACTTTTTTTATGGTTCTGAGTAGTCCCAATGAATGAGGCTGATGAAAAAGCTCGCCAGTGCAGCAGTCGATGCTGATTGGTACCTATATGGAAAATCATGATTGGATAAAGAATTAAATGAATAAATAATTCTAAAGACAAACTTTCAAGCTTTTGAACAATTCCCTAACACTCACCAGTCCATCCAACGTACCGACTCTAATCCCCTCTGGGTTTGGATCCCTCACAAACTCGAGGGTGTCCAGTCCCGCGCGGTTATCCCTAGCCAACACTGGATCCCAGAGCTAAATCAGTTATATATAGAGTTCAATTCTTAGAATTTACCAGCTTGTACATTCTGGCCGCTTTTGGATAAAAGGTGCCTTTCGGTTCTAAAATTGGATTCTGTTTTTAAGTGAATTCTTATACCTTCACATTGTTGACGTTTACAATTTAACTTACCTTTAAAATTGCTACTTCAGATCAGTCTAGAAGCCACTAGTCAGGTCAAACTGGGTTACCATGTACCAGAATGTAGGGTTCATTTTCGGTCAAACTGTCGATAGGTGTACAACGGAAAAACGAGATTTGCCCACTTCAACGGCTACTTTCTTAGCGGTTTTTAGACCAAAAGATAGAGCTTGAAAAATTCTACCTTCTTGTTGCAAGAAATTCTGAAAAGTAGTCGTTGAAGTAGTTAAATTTCATTTTTCCGTTGTATACCTATCGAAAATCAGGCCGAAAATGAACAGCTAGTACCAAAAATGATACAAGACTCAAAAACTGTCCCCTAGAGTGCTCGACCAAGGCTAAAATGAGTTTTTTTGTGAAAAGAATGCATACTTCCTGCCCACGGTTCCACTCCTCTTGCCACTCGCGCTCGAAGCCCATTGAGTGTCTGAATGTACTAATTATTTACAGACAAAGAAAATGAGTACAATAAATAACGTGCAGTACAAATTCTTTTAATATTAACTCTGAGTTGTCTATCTTTGATAATAAACGTACAGCCAAAATGTGATTTTGAACAGCAACGGGGAAAATTGTTGAGTTGTCAACACTGCGAACCATTGGAATCTCGAATTGGGCTGAGACAGCTGTGAGTTGGTTTCGTTGGCTCTTTGAAGTAGTTTTTTTTAAAGCTTTTTCAAAAAAGTTTGAAAAGATAGCAATGAAAATATTAGTAAGGCAAAAGCCGTGTACCTGTCTACAAATACAGCCAACGATCGTTAGAATTTTCATTTTCATTTCAGTCAAAGCTTTTCTTGAACAAATCTCAATGTTCATCGCCCATTTTATACAACAAAATGGACTTGTGATCTCTTAATAAATTTAGTTTTCTGTTTTTCCTTTCAAAAGTCTCCTGGTTCCTCGAAAAGATCAAAGTCTTTCATTGATTGATGTACCAGCGGGTTCGTTTTGTGTATTTGTTAATAATAGATTTTCAATTGGCGTTTTCTATTTGAAAATTTCCCGTTCAGAACTTTGATCCTTCTATGTCTATTAAAATCACTTTCCAAAAATGTTTTCAAAGATCATAAAATTTGAAAAATTCGCACATATCGTTTTTTGAATTTGTTGAGGTTAAACGTCGATTCTAATGAAAATAAAAAGAATTCCTATTTTAAATAATGAAAAATTGATGCTAAATCTAAAAGCAGTACCGTAGAAAATGCTGGGTACAAATTTTGAGCTTCAGACAGGGCTGTTCAAAATCATATTCATTTAAATCTTAAAATTTAAGCCTTAAAATCGCAACGATATTTGGATCGAAAAAGTATTTGGAGAGGAAACTTTGCAAAAGAGATTTAGAACAAAATTAGGAATCGATCTGAACTTGGACCTCGACTCCTTTTGGGTTCATGATGATAACCACCATTTGCTGGTGATGATCTGATCAACTTTTAACACTCTTTTAACACTAATCCATTTTCTGAACTATTTTTATACATTTTTTGAGCAAACTATTTCTGTGCCTTTACTCCAAAAATAAACCACTCAATTCCACTCAATTCCACTCAATTCAGCATTTATAACCAACATCATTCAACAAAATTGTATCATTTTAGAGTTGCTATCTAAAATGAACATCGGCTTTCTTTCTGTAGTGATCCTTTTAACAACTTTGCTTCGCACTGAAGTGGGTTCTGTATTCAATCGTCTACATGCAAGCGGGAGAACGATCTGTCAAGATAAGCCCTATGATGGAGCGCACGTTGCAATCTATGCACTTTTCAAGTAGAAATTTATGATTGATTTACTTTTGTAATGATGAGCTGGCTACAAAGGAAAGTCAGGCACTTAATACTTTCGAAGCCAAAACTGTGGGCCAACATTTCGCATTTTTCACTTGTTCACTCACTTCAGGATCAGCGGCTATCAATTGCTCATCGACGGTTACAGTAATTCGGATGGGTTCTTCGACATTTGGGCAGTTGATGCAATGACACTTGGTGATCTCCCATATGTCGTGAAATTCACTCATAAGTGTGAGGTGAATGGATAAGTTATAGATGAGTGATTCAAAAGTTTTACTACAGCTGAAATTGGTTTCGATAAAATATAGTTGCCCAATTTTGAGTCTTACTATTATTAGATTGGTCGATAAGTCTTTTGAGCGTTCTTAAATCTGTTCATAAAGAAAAGGAAAAGAATAGCTTCAAATATAAGATGTTTATTGCACACTTTTCTATCTTTTTAGGCAAATCTGAGCCTGTTTCCAAGGCAATCCGAGCGCAAAAACTAGCTTTGCGTAAAATAAAAGGTGATATAAAGGAATTGGCTAAACAGATTGTTCTGAAAATCTTTGCTTTGATGACTTATTTATTAATTTTAGTCAAGAAGTGGTGATTTATCCTTTCAAATCGATTACCCGAATGCTCTCGTAGAAAGCGGCGAGGAATTCAAAATGGGAGATGTGCTCTTGGCGAGCCCAATCCGATAAGAAAATGAATTATTATTATGTGTTTGCATCGAAAATCAATTTCTTCACAAAATTTCATCACATTCCTTCATAAGATTAAGCCAAACGTTTAACAAAAGTAAAACAGCAATTTCGTTCATTTCTTCGACACTGCTGGCGCCTTTCGCTAAATAGAGATACAGAAATAACGACTTTATCCCACCTGAATATTTACATCCCATGCATTGGCGTACATTTGAAAGTATTCCTCCTTTTCCTCGTGCGCCGAGAAGAGGATTTTCTCGCCGATGATTGATCGGAGCTGAAAATGTGTATAAGAAAATCAGAGCTTGGGTTTTGGCCAGAAGTTATCTAATCTCACAGGCTTGGAACAGCTACCCTGAATTTGTTGATAAATGAAAGCTTAAAAGCTCTTTTTCAAAGCGAATTTGTGCCGAATTTCTTTACAATCTGTGCGTTCTCTTCTTTTTCGATTAATGACTCATTCATTCCATCTCTGGCACATGGGAAAAGATGAGGGTAAATAAGCGAAACCCTTTCTTCTCCCAAGAAGTAATGGTCTGGAGTTGATGGATTATCACTGTCACTGAAATCCCCGTCAACATTCACTTGACTATGCTTTTTGGAGAAATAACATCTATATAATGAAGCTTAAATTTAGTTTCACATGAATTTAGCAGTAAAAGTTTTCACTGAAAATGATTAAGAGACAAAAAAGTGTGTAGCTTTTGTAATATCTGATGGGAAATCTACAAGACATTCCAAAACTCCCTTTTGATTTATTACAGTACTCGATTCAAGCACTATGGCTAAATTTTTAAAGTTATTCAATCGTCCGGGCTTACTGTAAGGAAACAGACTGAGCCTCGCAAACTCTTCGTTGCGAATTTCTCTTTGCTATCACAATCCACGAACAAAGCTTGATGTTATGCACATCCGTTATAGCATCGGTCAGTCGCAGCAAAGTATTCTCGTGAGCCAAGATTGCCATGTGAACAGCACCAACCAAACAATTATCTAAAAAATCAAAGTCATGATTATTGAAACGACATAGACCTGAACAAGCAAATCAACGCACGTTCAAATCAACTAAAGCCTAATTGAAGGAGGTCCTGTAAAATAAATTGTACTTTGAACCATAACCAATTTTCCATTGTCTCGGCGATCGGCGCTTCGACACCAAGTAAAGCACAGTACATCGATCTAAATTTTCAATATCTTCTTGTTTGAATGGCTTTTAGCTCACCATCGGAAGAGATCCCTGACCGAATGCTGCTCGTGTCCCCATTAGACCTTTAGCTTGTATTTGATTTCTTTCGTCAATTTAAACATTATGCATCAAACGCAAAACAAATGATTCATACTTGGAATTGCTCTTCAAATACACAAGAGCCTTGTAAAGAACATTGATTCGTTGATTAGTCGCAACTTTCTGAAATCGACAAGCGATTGAGCGTACTAACACATTAGACAATACATCTAAAGCATCACTGGCAGCAGCCAGATCACCACTTTGGAAGCACGTGTAGATACACAGGACAATCATCAGCCAGCCATCTTCAACGTCAGAAGTGATATCACAACATCCCTAAATAATGTTAATATTTAATATGCATTGGTTATAAACTAACGTTGTTATACGCAACAGTCAACGCTCGTGTTCCAGGGACCCCTGCTCGCCGGGCTCGCTCCAAATTCTGGTCGACAGATCTTTGCATATGATCGACGAAACTAAATTGGACTTCAACATTAAATTGCCCTGATTGGCACGTCTCCCGAATTACTCGTGTATCGCTTTCCGATCATTGCTATCATTTGAGCCCACGTATCGGCAACCACTGGATCACTGGCTCGTTCAGCAATTGAGAAAGGCCCTAAAGCAACTTTATCATACTACTCTTCAAAATCACAACCTTACCACCGTTTACCTCGAGCATTTAGGTATGCTCTCGGACCTCTACCCCTGGCCCCTACTCTATACTTCTAGGCGAATAAGTAAAGGATAAAAAAAATGACCTTTTACTCATACCATTTCTTGTTTTTTTTTATTTAAAGATTTATTTATAATCACTACTTCAAAAAATCGACGAACGACAAAAGAAAACAAAAAACAAGAAGCGCACAAGATACAAAAACTTAACCATCATTAGAGGTCAAGATAAAAAAAATCACTGACAATCCGAGGTTGGTTATTCGTATGGGTAAGTTGAGATGTAGAGGCAAGAGGAAGGAAATCAAGAACGAGACCAATTTTAAAAGAATATAATATCGAAGAGGTCTAATCGAGATGTGATTGATTATTTTGAACTTATTTTCTCCATAGAAGAATTTTTCAAAAATTTCACTAATCAAATCAAAACAGGATCAAATACTTGAATCCTTGTTTTTATCAGTACATCACATAAATCAACAAAAAAAAATTTTGCTACAAAACATGATAAGATCAATACTTTGAAATAAATACTATTCCTGTTTGATCTGTTTGATTTTTAACAATCCCAAACTTTAAAGTGAAACATACCAAAAGCTTAAGGCAGCTTAGCAAATCCTCGGCGATTTAATTTGGCTTGGAAATCCTGGATTGTGCTTGGCTGAGAAAGATCGACGAAGAGATCTACCCCCGTCAGCCCCACCATTATTGGGCCACGGAGAGCTCAAGCTGAGCGGCGAAGAGTGATCTTGCAACGTGTTGTTGTTCAGGACCCTAAAAGTCTAACGATCATCGCAGATAATTAAAAGCACCATTAGAAAAGTATGAAAAATATGAATTAAACCGACCTCGAACACAATGTTCCAAAAGATATATGTCACTCCACTCTGCGACAAGCTGATCATGCTTCCCAGATTTGCGCGATTTAGTCCGTATTCTTTGTTCCAGCCAACAGGCAGATTGAAAGAGAACGAGCGCTGATTCTGGGTGATTTTGATAGAGCGTTGCACAACTCGAAACTGGAGAGGTGCATTTCCTTCCTCCCCAAATTTGATGATGACACGGTTGGCGTAAATGTTCGACGCCATCTAAAAAGAGAAAATAAACAAAATGATTGAAATTTTCAAATAAGAGATATCAACTTGAAATGTCATGTGATAAGTAAATCTATATCATTTTGCTACCGGTTTTTAGAAAGCATTCTTTTTCATAAATAGAAAGCTATAAATCTAATAATGCTAAAAAGAATACTAATACATCTAAGATAAAATTAGAACCTTTTGTGAATAACGGAAATAAAGGAAAGTTTTCTTTTTGAAAAATTTCGACAACCAACGGACGAATAATGGACAATTAAAAACTTAGAACCACAGAATAAAATTCTCTTATAATAGACATATTCTAGCATCTGATACTGTTTTCTGAAAACACCCGACTAGAAATGGGTGAATTCTGTCCCGAACCAAGATACGGTCAAAATATTTTAAATCCAGGACCAAAATATTTCATTGTGACAGAACAAAAAAAAATCGAGATGAAACTTTGGCAAATGTTTCACATTTATTGAATAACAGGTCAATGATAAACAAAATGGTCAAAGAAACCATGACAACATAAAAATTGAATCTATTCAGTTGGGATCTCGATGTCGCCATTGTTGATGGAGTCGATGACGTCGTGTGGGTGTTGTTCAAATAAGAGTTTGCGCATCAGAACAAGGTATGATGTAACTTGGACACTTGATGAGCACCGATTGCTTGAGCATCCATAGACAATCGATCAAAGCTTGAAATCTAAAACAAGGAAAGTTCGAGTTATCTATCTTTTTTAGTTTTTACATGATCTTCATCGAACTTGTGTTGTGGCAGCGGTGAGAATGGACTAAGGAGAGCTTCTGATGAGAACGATGGAGAAGCTGGCGATCCGACATGTTAAAAAAATCAAACCAACAACCAACTAGATGAAAACTCAACCCTCCATATTGCTGGGGATGGCGCATCTGAGCGTTCAAGTACGGATTTGAAGAAGCCTCCGAGGAGAGTGACGGTGAATAAGGCGGTCCAAGACCCTGAACATTGTGAGACTGATCAGAAGTACAATTAAACAGACTTGAAGGTGACGAAGACAACTCTAAAACTTGAAAATTTCACATCAAAATTCAGAAAAACCTGCAATTCTTGCAGGTATTAGCATTCCTGAAGCTGAAAATTCGAGTGATTGGCCATCACGACCTTGCATTCCATAGGCTTGCTGTATGGCATTCATCAAAAAGTAAACTTGTAAAGGTTCCAAAAATGTTATATACGATCTGTAACTGCTGACGTTGCAAATCGGGCATGTGCATCCCCATTAGTGGCAACCGCTCGTGAAGAGAAAGAAGCTTGTGCCAAATCAGAGATTTAAAAAAGGCTTTGATTGAGAACGACCACAAAAAAACCCCGCTAAAACAGCAAATGGTTGTTTGGCGAGATCCCTTCTTGAGAGTAATCCAGGTCCATACTCAAATTGTCCCTTTGTAGGCAAGCTTTGCAGACGAGAGCGCCCGACTCCTGGTTGCGACTAAAACCAGTACGCTTAATTGCTCATTATTGATATTTACCTCATGTATGGTATCCATTTGTGTAAATGAGCAAGTTGATTGAATATCTCATGACCCCTCCTCCCCTTCCAACGTTTTGTATATCACTGTAGCTGTGCCGCCGTTGTGATAACTAAACTTGAAGATTAAAAAACAAACAAAATTAAAAGTTAACACCATAAGATTAGGTGGCACATGTTCGCGATAGATTCCACTTTGTTCGAATCCCTGGTTTTGATTGTTGAAAACAATGATCTACCCCTTTAGATAACCTTGCTTGCTTTCTCTTATGTGTCGTTGTTGTTCCTAAACTCGAGCTACTTCTTACATCAATAAACAACCCAACCTGCGCAGTTAGACTTTGCTTGAGCAAGTTTGCATCTCCCCTGCTTGTGAATCTTCTGGCCAGAAAGTGTAATCCTTTTCTTCTTTCATTTTCCCCAAAGTCGCTCTATTTGTTGACCGATTTTGAGCGACATAAATAAAATCTATTAAATATTTACATTGACATAATACCTTGAAATGATCCTTGTATCCGGCTAGCAAATTGATGGCAGTTTGAGCAAAACACTCCTGGTTGACAAATGCAGCTTGGATCTAAACTTTGGAACGTAAACAATCCAAAAGTTCAAAATACTTTGCTAACTGCTACATCAGCAAGTCGTTCCTTTAGCTTTTCTTCCGTTGCCTCATTTCCTTGCATAACCGAGTAAACAGCTGCTAATTGCATCGCAAACTAAACCGGAATAATTCATGAACATAACAACTAAAAACAACCGCTTTTGCGTCTTTTGGATGATTGAACCCAAATCCAAAAGTTTGTTCTCCAGTGTAGCGAGATGAATTTCTGGTTGGCACATGCGAATTTCCAATTTGCGCTTAAAGAAGTCATCGGAAGAACCGGCTAAAACACAAGATCGTTGCAACATTCATAAAAGCAACCATACATGTGTTCCAGCATATGCAAGCATCCTGTACTAATCCTCTTTTTGTAGATTATCTTCCAAAATGAAGATCGGAATTGCCTCCTGTGTGAGATCGATCCATTCCTTGTTTTCAAGTCGATAGACCTAGCCAATTCCTTTCACAATAAACTAACCAAAGGTAAACTAGCCAATCTACCATTTTGAACTAGGCTTTAACATTAGAGCTTTCAAAGCAACCACAAATATATCAAATCAACAAAACAAAACTCACCGTGGCTGTGCTTCATCTTTCTGCTCGACTAACTCTTCCGTCTTCTTGTGGTCCTCGACAACATTGTTGTTGTTGGCCAAAGTTTGTAAGTTCATTCTAAAGATGATAGATTATATCAACGAATACAAAGATGAAGACACAAAATAAGCGGACCTTAAAAAAAACTACGAGGAGTGAAGGAGCACAAACGAAATGAGAAAATTCTCGTAAAAAAATTCGTGGTAGCCCTTTTAAAGGGCTTTTCCTTTCAGCCCCGAATTTCCGAAATGCCTGTTTCTAGGATTAAATTTTCGAATGTTTTTCATTTTATTTTTGCCCTTGTTCTTGGTGTGCTTTGTTGTTTCGTCTCACCTTTTTGAGCACACCTAGGATTTTTTTTTGCGTTTTAAGAAAGCTAATATTAACAATTTCTATTCCGAAAGTTATTTTCCTGGGTAATTTTAGGGCATAGAATCGAAATTTTGACATATCAGAGCTTGTGGAACCAAACGGACGGAGGGATAGATAGCGAAAAATCGGCAATTTTCTGTAATTTGATCTGCCCGTCTTTCAGATTGGTTTCACAAACTCTGATATTTCAAAATTTAGATTCTATGCGCTAAAATTACCCGGAAAAATAACTTTTTGGAATAGAAATTGGTTAATACTAGCTTTTTGGAGCTTTTTTAAAACGTGAAAAAAGGTGCGCTAATGGACCGGGTGCATTTGTTAAAGTTAAAGTCCCAGATGAAAAAAAAGATCGCATTTGTCCCACTCCCGCATCAGGCTACTTTTTTGACCAACAAAAATGAAGTTATTGCCAACTCACCTTTTTCATTGCGGGTAAAGAAAATGAGCCGCTCGTCATTCAACAACTCCACCTTTTATAGTGCATTTTGTAATGCTAAAATGCACTACTTAATGTTTCCTTCGTTTGATGAAACTAAGTTACTTAACTGAATATTTTCATGCAATGTGTAGGTAAATGCACGTTTGCAGGCGAAATTTTCGTTTTTCTCATCTCCCGCCCGCTCTCTTCCGACTTTATATCAGGACTTGCTGCCCATTCTCTTACTTTGCATGTAGTCGATAGCCTTGCAAGGTTTTCAAAATTTGAAATTTTTCGTCATTTCCTCCTAAAAATGTTCAATTACGGCGCTTGATACGCCAATTGATTTACATCCCCGAAACCTTTAGTTTGCTTTCCTTGTTTGGTCTTGTTTGTTTTTCATCAACTTGTTTTATCTTTCTAATCTGTTGATTTTAGTCATCCTCCTTCACGGTTGGTAGGCGAAATCCAACGGAAGAATGCCACCCAAGTTTGAGTTCATAGCATAGGTCGCGTAACTGGTAGATTAGCCCACTAGAAGGGTTACATCTTTTATATTGTTAATACATGAAACTGGAACTTGACCCAGAACCAATATTTTTCCACGAAAACTTGCACAGATGGTTTTTTTTGACTATGCTGAATCGATTCGGTCTTCTATTGATCTGGAGGAGAATAGAAGGCCGAATCTTGGAGAGTCGGACTTAGCCTGTTTCCAGTCAGGTCTCTAAAGTGCGGAGCCAAAGCGTAGGAACATACAGACGCCTAATATAATTTCTAGAAGAATAGAAGTCCGAAGCAATTCAGCATAATCAAAAACCGCTGTGTGCAAGTTTTCGTGGAAAAATATTGGTTTTGGGTCAAGTTTCAGACTGCCCCCTTCCCCCCAGCTACTCGAGGGTCTTTTTTATAAACTAAATTAATATTTTTTATTTTAGTCGCCAAAGAAAGTCGGAGACGACATTGCGAAGGCAACGCAAGACTGGAAGGAATTGAAGGTGCAAGCTCACTATCCAAAACAGAAACACCAAGATCGATGTGGTGCCATCCGCTGCGTCGCTCATCATCAAGGAGCCACCTCGCGACAGAAAGAAGGTCAAAAACATCAAGCACAACGGCGATCTCACCATCGACACCATCATTAAAATCGCGAGGACCATGCGCAGTCGTTCAATGGCAAAGAAGTTGGAGGGAACGGTGAAGGAGATCCTCGGAACCGCTCAATCGGTCGGCTGCACCATTGATGGACAACACCCACACAAAACTTGCAAGTGTTGCTGGCTATCAGCAGGTTCTGTTTTAAATTTTTTTTTACGAGTGAAAGTTCTTAGCTTGTGCTTATTTAATTCGTTGAGTTGAGATTTTAAGTATGGATTTTTACGAGGTTATGAGAATCCAAGAAATCAATTTTAGATACGTTTTGACGAAGACAATTTATCGGCAAATATGTGGTTCAGAATACGAGGAAGAGATTGACGAGGAAATCGATAACGCCAACCCAAACCTGTTATTCTTATTTCTCGATTTGAAAAAATTAGCCCCCCTTTTGCTAGTTTCAAATATTATCTTGTGTCATCTTTATCTAACAGTAATTTGGTCTTTTCCGGCTATTCTTCAGATTTAATAATTTGGGGTTTTTTTCAGATCAAATAAATCTGAAGCAAAAAAGGTCAGTTTATAGATCGCCGTTTTTATTATATTTGTCGTTAGCCGATTGAAACGAGACATTTCGAGAACCTATAAAGTGCACATTTTTTTATTTCTTCCTTTAGATGAATCGCGATCGTCCAATCTTGATGTTTGTCGAGGACAGGAACCACCCTCTCACCTTTTTCTTCTCTGGCGGCGGTGCCGGATATTTCGAGATCACGCCAAGCGACACCCACTATCGATTTGCCTATATCCCGGGTGTGAATCGCACGTATAAATCCGACCCGAAAGACTTCCAGCGCCCGAGGGGGAAGATTCATTTATCTCATGCATAATGTAATGTTGCAGGTCAGGATTTTCTTCTGATTGTAGTTTTTCTATAGAATTGAGGAGATCTTATAACTTATGATTGTTGTACTTTAGAGTCCGCACAAACCAAATGATGTTCAACATGTGTTTGAGCTGCGTAATTGAAGACGCGTGGTGGTTTGTGGATCTTGGCCTCCTGGCCCGTTTGTGGATCTTGCCGAGGTCGATGTGTTCGTGGATTTGTGCGTGGATTCTTCGCATGATGTTTTCCATTGTGGCATTGTGCAGGATAATTTTTCAGAAGCAAGATAATCAAATCTAAATCAATGTTTGCCTGAATAAAAGTTTGTTTGTTATCTGGGCCGTCAAAGAATTGAATGAGCTATGAATATTTTTCCAAAAAAAACCCCTAAATAAAGTCCTAAAGTAAACGTGCGAAGGTTGGTGTTGGAGTATCAGCGAAGATGTGTTGTCTGTGGAGTCATGGAGAAAGGTAAAAGAGCTCTGTCAATCGATCGATTTGGGGCATTTTTGTGGAAAGAACGGCAACATCCACTGTGATCCGTATTGCGAGTAATAATGCCTGTAGGTTAGTTTATACGACGAACTCTCATCTTTGTATACGCCCCCTCTAAATTATACTCTTGGTAGCGTTTTTGGGTTTGGGGTTGACCGTTTTATAGCTTGTACCCCCATTCTTCGGAGAAATATTTGACCCGCGATTAGGCTATGCTTAAGAATTGGATAATTCCGATCGATTTATCTAATTAGTGTCTATTTAATCGACCTTACTATTTCATATAATGCGTCGCGATCCATCGATAATACTTGAACTCGGTTTCGGGTTCCGATAGAAACTTTCGATTCCCATTTTTGATAGAAACTTGCCTTAAGATCCTTTTTTGATCAGTTCATTGATATTTATACAAAATTAAACAATTGAGTCTATGACTGAAGACGATTTATCAATGAATACTTTCCCTATATTGTATTCAATGCTTTCAATTTTTTAAAAGATTCATCACTTTTTCTAAAAATGTTTCTTTTCTATTTAAGGAAAAGAATGAAGAATTGAATTGAATTGGATTGACTGAAATATCTGCAGACAAAATATTAGTTTGGACTATACGAAATATCGGCGACTTTACCATGACCCCATTCTTTCAATTCACCATAGATTTTTCTCATTTTTCTTGGTGAAACATGGATTTTACGGGCATATAAAAGTCAGATTTTTCAAGCTGACCATTCTTGGTGAATTCACCATAGAATGTGCTCCATATTTCAATATTAATATAGAAAATGTCTCTCGTATCTACCCTCAAAAAATGAGAACATCTATGGTGAATTGAAGGAATGAGCTCATGGTAAAGTCGCCGATATTTCATATGGTTCAACCTAATAGTCAATGATGTTTATAAGCTATTTAGGAACATAAAAGTGATAACATTTCCAACAACTCTCAACGTTTCTTCTTCGGAATGAAAGAATGAACGTCTGGGTGCTAAATTCGACTATTTGAGAAAGAAATGTCTATAAATTCAAATGTTAGAATTATTCAGTTTCTGAGTTCTGACTTTTATATGCCCGTAAAATCCATGTTTCACCATGAAAAATGAGAAAAATCTATGGTGAATTGAAAGAATGGGGTCATGGTAAAGTCGCCGATATTTCGTATAGTCCAAACTAATATTTTGTCTGCAGATATTTCACTCAATTCAATTCAATTCTTCATTCTTTTCCTTAAATAGCAAAGAAAATTTTTTAGAAAAAGTGATGAATCTTTTTAATACAATATAGGGAAAGTAGCATTGAATACAATATAGGGAAAGTATTCATTGATAAATCGTCTTCAGTCATAGACTCAATTGTTTAATTTTGTATAAATATCAATGAACTGATCAAAAAAGGATCTCAACGAAAGTTTCTATCGAAAATGAGAACTCTTCTCATTTTTGCCACTTTCCTTCTCGTCACCTATTCCATAGTCAGGTTAAACTTTTGGAACTATTTAAAACTTAGACTTCTAGAATCAAAATCGAGAAATCGAATAGGAAAATAGGCAAAGGACTGATTAGACATCAACAAAATTTTCAGCCTGACGAATGTTCTGAGCGTGGGTTGTTTGCTATGAAAAAAATTTATAATTTAATACTTCATTAAGAAATCCAAAAGAGTTTATTATATACAAGTTGAGCTGCAACTTAAAGCAATTGCTTAAATGCCTCAAAAAGACAAATTTAGCCGTTCAAAGACGTCGCAGACGTTTATTCTCCTGGTCAAAAGAAGAGCCATTGAGAAATATAAGAAATGTAATCGCTTTGATCGTCGAATGAATATCCCGATTCACTTTAATTCTATGATAATCGATGATATTTTTTAGGGACTTTGGACGGGCGACGTTTCAGTGGACAATATAAAGAAACCTTTCAAGATCAACTTTGACACTGGATCGACCACTTTCTGGGTGGCATGTGATTGTGTAAATGATCCGAAAAATACATGTGCTGGACACACGACTATTGTAAGCAAGAAAAAAAATGCACTGAAAGTTTAAGAATCTCTAGCTTGATTGCAAAAATTCTCCGATATGTACGAAAACTTCAGTCGAATATTGTGCCGAATAGGCAGATATGAGCATGGCCACCGGTTTTTGGGTTAAAGATCGCGTTTGCGTGAGTTTCATCCTTTTAGAGTTAATCGAATTTTCAAGATGAACAAATCGAATATTGGGTTTACCCATAAAGTCTTGTTGACACTTTGTTCTACTAGCGTTTATAAATGATCAATTCACCAATTGACGGTTTGCTTCAAACAGAAGTTGTTTAGCATTCACTTTTCTATCATTTCAAGCCAATTTGAGTCTATTTCCAAGTAAATTCGAGTGCAAAAATTCGTTTTTCGTAAAATTCTATAAAAAGCTCGACAAAAAAATCGGCTGAATAGATAATCTTGAAAATTCGGCTATATACCAAACTTTTTGCGCTCTATCTTTTATCTATTGACAGCAAAATAGGTTTTTGTGGACCAAAAGACCTAAATTGAGTCTTCGGGTTGTCGCCTTTTTTGCCTTTTGGTAAAAATTGTTTTCTATAAACGCTAGTAGAAAAAAGTGTTACCTGGGTCAACCTAATAGTAAACAGATAGCAGAAAGACAAACAACGGATCATTTTCAAGATCGATCATCTGTGCACCAACAACGAGCAATGGATTGGCTGTGCAAACTCTACAACTGTCGGCACTGATGTAAGTTTTTTTTTGAAAAATCTTTATTGTATTACAGTGATACACATATTATGCTATTATATTTGATACATTAATAAAATTTTGGATTAGGAAGCCGCAACGGGAGACGGGATTATGGGCTTGGCGTACAATGACGGATCGATGAAGTGGTCACCGTTGCAACAGATATTCAGAAAGGTATGAGAGCATTAACATTAGCGTTTTTACTATTTTGCAACTTTCTCAAGATATCAAACAGATATAGATAAGTGTTATATATTATTTTAAAGCTGAAGATCTCCTCTACATTTTGATAAAAAGTTTTTGAATTCGTTCAACTTTTTGGCAAATTGACTAGAAGGAGAGGTGACCAAAAAGCGGTTGTTTCAGCTTTCAAAAACGAAAAATCCATTCAGCCTAGCTATTCCTCAAGTTTATGGTGTAAAATAACTGCTCTTTAGAGTTACTTAAAAATATAAAAGTTGGGATCGATCGCTTGACAATTCTCGATTTTACAGTGTTTTTCAAGCTTCCGCAAAAAAATCTTTGTTTTTGAACGTTTTTGGAAACTTGTTCTAAATTTAGTTCCAATTTTTTGTAAGTCGAATGCCGCTTCTTGAAATTTTTATATTTCAAATAAAATTTTATTGCTCTATCTATTGGTTAAATATCAAACTGTTGACTCGATTTGAGCGTAGCCAAAACTTGATCCAAAACCACCCTTCGATTTTTTGCTCACCTCTCTTTCTGTGCAGTCAATTTCCCCAAAAGTTGAACAAATTCCAAAACTTTTATATCAAAATGTGGAGGAGATCTTCAGCTTTAAAATAATATATAACACTTATCTAGATCTGTTTGATATCTTGAGAAATTTACAAAATAGTAAAAACGCTCACAAGTTACCGACCAAATACTTGTCCTTATACTAAACATTCTTGTGTAAAACTTGGAGAAAACAGGTTGAACGTTGAACAGTTGAATGCATCAGAATCTGTTCGTCAAATGGTACTGTAAATAGACTCGTTTTAAGTTCAGTAGCAGCTCTAGGTTCTATTGTTTTATAGAACTATTCAAGAACAGGATAACTGTTTTATTCTTCTTCAGTACAACTTAGAGCAATCGAATTGCAGATCTTGGAGTAAAGGATAGAGTTTTTATCTAATCGTTTTCAATCCAAGATTGTCGAGATTTAGCCCGAAAACGACGAGAAAGTCTTTGCTTTCTATCTCGACTCGGAAGCCGAAAATCGACAAGACAAGAGTGAGATGACCATCTGTGGCATCGATCCCGATCATTACATAGTTTCTAAAATACTGAAAATACCAATATTTTACTTAAGGGAAAACTTGAATGGTTTAAAGTGAAGCCGTACTCGGATGAAGAGTCAACGAATTACTTTTGGATGATAAACGTGACGAGCGTGTTGATCAACGGGGAAAAGGTACCATTGTACCCCAAAGCTATCTATCTATACTATCTATTGGGTTGATGCAAAAGTCTTTTTCATTTTTTTCGTACTTCCGTTAAAAAGTAACAAATGCACCAATTGAACAACGGTTTATTGCATTCGAAAGGCCAATTATTTTTCTGCAAAATGACATTAAAACGAGTTTAAAATGTTTTATGTCTAGATTTTTTTTGAGAGCCTGAAGTCGGGTAGTCAAAAAAGGCGACGGCTCGATGATGCATTTTAGACGCTTTAGCTAAGGAAACCAATCTTGATGTTAATAAATAAAAGATAGAGCACAAAAAGTTAGATATTTTTTCAGATTTTCAGAGAAATTCATTCAGCCAATTTCTTTATAGAGGTTTTTATAGATTTTTATGAAAAACCCGTTTTCACTCTCGAATTTGCTTGAAAGTGAACCCAAATTGACTTAAAAAGATGGGAAATTGAACAATAAACACTTTTCATTTAGAGCAAACCATAGGTTAATTGATGACTTTGTTATTTTTCAAAAGAAGTACGAAAAAATGAAAAAGATTTTTGCATCAACCTAATATAATTCTAAAACCTGCATGTGTCACCATGTAATAAAAGAACTCACCATGCTGGACGGTAACAAAAAAAAAGAGAATAAAAAAATTTGGGGCTTTTTGCCATAATCTTTGGTTTAAATGCAAATTTTTGAGGGGTTAAGGGATTGGTTTGAAGACCGTTTCTACTATGACTTTTGTGGGGGTTAGAATTGGACAGGCTGGTCCTTTTATGGGTTGGGGCAGAGAACAGGGTTGAGGCAGGAGTTCGATCCCTCGACCTCTCGCTTACCAGACGAACGCTCTGGTAAGCTCCACCGACAGCTCCACTGACACTTATCTCATTATCGCCAAAGTAGGGTCTTATGCCTTACTTTAGGGAAAGAAGGTACGAGCCCACTCAAGCCTTTGCAATGAGTTTGCTAGATTAGATCTACCAGAAATCATAACTGCGGTATTAGTAGTTATGTAAGAACAGCTCTTACTTTGGGTTAGGGTTAGTGTTTTGCTTTAACTCTATGTTGTTAAGGGACAAATCTGTTATACTTTTCGTTTTATTCTGTGACTGAAAGATCCCGAATTTCCACCTGCTGGTGCAATATAATTTCAGGTGTGGAGTGGGGACGGGAATATGTTTCTTGACACGGGTTCGGAATTTTCGCAGTTACCAACAGTTGCAATGAAGAGAATGAAGGAACTGGTGATCAAAGATCTTACTCTGTATGCAGATTTTTAGATAAGCTCTACGAGCGACCCCAAAAACTATCCAAAAATCACTTACATAATTGATGGCACTCACCATTTCCATGTACCCTCGGCTGCGTATTGCGAGGATTATTCTGCGGTAAGATAAAATTGTTATCTTACTGTCATTTTTCTTTGATTTTCTTTGACATACATTTCCAAATTCTATAGAAGCACTGTGGAATGGGTCTTTTTGCTGAAAAAGACGCAGAAAATCTCGAGTTTGGAGTTTTGGGCGATACTTTCTTGCGAGCCAACTATGCCGTTTTCGATCCGATCAAAGGTCGCATTGGACTTGCGCCAAGTGCATAGCATTGAAAATCTATCTTTATTGGCAATAAATTTTTTTGCACTTTGTGCAGAATACAAGTCGAACAGCGTTTCCTTTTATTCAACAACAATTTCTTCTTTCAAAACCAGATCTTCGACATATTGCAGGCAAGCCTCTCTTTTTATCTAATTCCAAAAGGTAGAGGAGACCTTCAGCTTTCGAATAATATATAACACTCATATACATCTGTTCGATATCTTGAGAAATTTACAAAATAGTAAAAACGCGCATTCATAACTGGACAACCCAATACATGGATAGTTGTGATGCACATGACTGCAACCACAGTCCCTTGTTCGTCAGATCAGCCTGGAAATTGATTGTGCTGACAATGAGCTTAAGGAAAAGGTCCGACATAGGATCGATTCTCGCTAAAACCAAATTATCGATGTAGTAATATAATTTTTGTACAATGGCGGGGGGCGGGGGCGTGTAAATGCCCCACAATCCAGCAACAGAGCTGTTTTTCGCTTTTTTAGCGTCACTTGCTTTTTTAGCGCCGAAGTTTTTGGGAAAATTTAAATTTTCTTGTGTTTCAATCAAAAACAAACTTTTTGCACGCTATACCATTGTGCTTTCTGGCTTCGGAACTCATTCTTTTTTTTTCGGCCTTGGCGAAACTTTGTCCTCCGAAGCCTCGAGCTTTTTGGAAATCCGCAAATCTGAACTATTAATCTGAACAATACTCACTCTAGTCATCATTTTATAATTTCACCTCGTCAAAAGAAATCAACGAGATTGTATCTGGTTTAGGGCCAGCGTTCGGATTGCACACATCCGATGCCACCATACATTCGTCCGTAAATTTATCAGACAAAACTGTTCCTAAAACGTCCTTCAAAGTATTTTCTCAATTTGAAACAAACGTTCGAAAGTTGAAAATCAAGATTTGAAAGTCGATCTTTAAACTTCGGCTGCTCCCAAAGACGAAAAAGAAGTACTTTGAGGATTTTTTTTGCTTTGTTGAGCATAGGCGGCAAACGAAAAGACTACTTATAAAGGATCAAATCGAAGGTTAATTTTGGATTTCTTTCATTTGTCTCTATATGTAGGATATAGATTTGTGAGTCTCAAAATAAAAGCCTAAATTTTAAAATATAATAAAAATCTAACTGCGAAGTATACAGGCTACCAGAACCAAGGTAAAACCAAGTTCGTTCGATTGATTTTTTTCTGCTTTTCAACTTGTAAAAGACAAATTTCATTGAAAAGACTGTTGTTTCTATGTAAGCATTTCCTGAAACAATTCGTTTTTCAAAAATTATGCAAAAGAAACAGAAGAGTGGAGGCGAAAGTCTTGCAATTTTAAGCGAGCACGTTTTCTTTTAAAAGACTCATTCTTTTCAAGAATTGACTTTCTTTAAAGATTTCATTTTGGCACTTCAGCTTTTCTAAGTTTTCTAAGGATTGTCATTAGAAAGAATCAACTTTTCACTATTACTTTGAGTCCTTTGCGGTTTTGATCAGTTTATTTCAATGTTTTCCAGAGTGATATCAGCTCTGACACAAGGCCAAATCGATTGTCTCTTCCGATCTTGTCAAGAAGCAGATCGAGATCAAAGTGGATACATTTCGCGGAACGAGTTGCGCAATCTGATGGGTGAGACCGGGATGAACTTGTCTGATGATGAGGTAAAAGAAAGAGAATCACTAAATCGAATCATTTCCAGGCGGACGAGATGCTCGGTAGAGCTGATGTCAACCAAGATGGATACGTGAACTATGAGGAATTCGTGAGAATGATTGCAATTTAGAAGTTTTACAAGTTCGTAAAGAAGATTATGTTTTTCTTTTAGAAATTCTCTTAAATTATTTATTTAAATTGTTTAGAACGTTGAAATTAAATAAACTTTTCGCCTTTAAAACTTTAAAACACAAAGAAAACAAACTTTGGTATTTGTCGGTTTTCCACAGAGACTCATCTCGGTTGGGCATCTCCATGCGAATCTTTTCGGTTATCCATTCTCGTTCAACTGATCGACTGATCACTTCAGGTGAGCACTCTACTTCACTGAACATCACCGCTCACAAGGAGCTGACCCTTGCTTAACCAGAGATGAGTTTGTGTGGATGTATAACCGACAAGTACCCAAACTTTTTAACTTCAAAGAAACAATAATGCAAAACAAAGGAAAATAAGCTCACTTTTAGATTTTATCCGATTTACTTAATTCTGATTTCAATCTATAAGAAAAATTACTCGAGCTTTTGCAAATTATCCACCAAAACACATTACAAAACAACTATTTCATGAGTAAAGTTTTGCTTTATGAATGAAACTTTGAACGTGATAATGGGATCAAATCATAACTATTACTATTTACTTTAAATTCAATTCTTTTCTTGTTTATCTTTTGAGTGTTCAACGGTCATTTCATATTCCCATGCCATTTATTTGACTTGATTCAAGTGGAGGCGAAAAAGGGACCAAAGAACCAAGTGATTCTCAAATTTCAGCTGTGAATCAAAAGTTAACCATTCACTTTCATTGTATTCACTGGAGTTATCAAAGCCCAATGAATACATTTTATTTTTGTTTGATTTATTTCGCTAAATTCCTTGATGCTCAATTTGACTTTGACTACGATACTGCAAGTCCAGGTAGTGCATGATTTCCAAAACTAAACTGTCAATGTCAATGAAAGAGTCTCTGGACCCACCAGAAGCCAGGCAAGAACTTGTATTTTAGCCGGGCTCTGATCAGATTTGCCTTAGAAACCCTAGAATCTATTGGGTTGGTGAAATGAAAACTGCGGGACTTTGAACTAAAATTTATTCAACATAAAACCATCAATTCATTCCAAATAATTTCCATTATTATTGACGACTTCTGCCCATTTTACAGGCAATTTGCGGATTCCTCTTTCGTAGTAGGATTTTGGTTTGTGTGTGAGACAAGTGTGAGACTCAAAAATGGAGGACTGGAGATGTCCCGGTTTGAGCACTTTCTTCAAAAGAAACCCATTTTGGTATCAATAGAAAAGTTGTAGAGAATCAGAAATTAGGCTTATATCCAAATTTCCAAAAAAGATTCACTTAGTAGTTTCGCTTAAAATGCAAGTTTTATGAAAATTCGTAAATTTGGCATTTCTTGAAAACCAGTTTTTGAATCGTTCTGAAAATTTGCATATAAGCTTAATTTTTGATTCTCTACAACTTTTCAATTGACACCAAAATGGGTTTCTTTTGAAGAAAGTGCACAAACTGTCACATATGACAATAGCCGGCAGTTTTCAATTCACCAACCCAATAGTATAACTTAAAGTGCAAATTACAAATTACAAATAAAAATACAAATTTTCATCGAAAGTGTCTGAAAAAGAGTTTAACTTTAAAAGTTGCAGAAGAATACAAATCACACATGAATGATGCGAACAACTTGTATAATGAACTTTTTACGAAGAGAAACTACAATCGTTACTTGTTTCCATTTAATGGGAAAACTGGCGAAAACGGAACTGGTCATATTTTACTTAAAATTCGGAGAAAAACCAATTTCAGCGAACAAATTGCAAGTGCATTTTGATCTTTTTTACATAAAACTGGTCTCACTCGATGCAGAGAGCCAACTCTTGAGTGTAAACCTCGAATTGAAAATGGTATGTTAGCATCAAGAAAACTTTTGAAAGCAATATTGAATATAGTATTGGCGAGACCCGAGACTTGTCTGGGATCCAACAAATTTCAATGGAACCGATTATCTTTTCGTCTCGACGGAGATCATGTGGATTCCAGACTGTCAAATAGGGAATGCGTTAGTTTTATAGCTTATAGTTAGTAAAAAAAAACAAATAATAGCCAGCTGGGACTTTTGGCTTGGCTTCGTCGAATCTAATGTTTTAAGCGATTCGTGTCGCTACTTTTCTTCTATTCCGGGGTAATTATATATGATGAAGCGATTAGTGCTAAATTTTAGAGTATTTCCAACATATTTTAAATTAGTATTGCAGCTTTCCAAGTGCAATCAGCTTTGAGATAAGGTTCGGTGGTTAAAGTACAGCAGGCTAACCAGGACAAATCATCGAATAGGATTATCAAAAAACGTGCTTAAAATAGCATCAATTGCTTCAGCATATATCTCTTTCTTCAGAAGTATCGGCACGAATCGTTCAAAACGCTAGATTCGACTAAAGAAGTCAAAAGTGGCTCCTCCCAACCACCAAAATACCAGGCTTTGAGCCTTCAAAGAATCATGAATTTATTTAGTAAAACACTTGATTCGGTAAAAGCTGGAGAGGCGATGAGATCTGTGCAAATCTCTAGCAACGGCACCGTCTACTTCCCTGTGTTCTATTACACTGAAGTGGCTTGTCCAATCATTGTAAGTTTTCGGTAGTCTTCAGTGAAAATTTAGCTTTGCGAATAGCTTTGCTGAATAGGGAAACTATTCCATTAATTCGTTGACACTGTTGACAAATTATTTTTTACTTTTTTCTAGATCATTTTAGATCAGGACATGAAACATTTTTAGATTAACACTTTCCCATTTGACAAACAACTCTGCCCAATTCCGATAATGTCACTGGCTTTTGATGTGTAAGTGTTGATCAGGCATCCAATTGACCAACCCATTCAGACGATCGATTTCGATGAGTGTCGGCATTGATCCTTTTCTCTTTCAGATGCAGCAAATGCAGGTATTTGATTGAAATAAGTCTTGATTTGTTCAAGTGCTAAATTTTCTCAGACCGCTGAAATCTTGGCGAGAAGTGCTCAAAATCTCAGCCTACAGAATCTGCCGGCCACTGATGGACTGGTTGGAGTACTGTTCTCGAAGCAGTTCTTGGCTTGGGTTTGTTTTTAAGCCCTAGATCCTTGATTATAGGTCAATGATAATGTTGATCTAATAGCTCGAAAAGAATCAGTTGCACCTGTTAAAAAACAAAAGCGTAAAAAAGAACTTTTAGAGTCAAAAGGAATTTTTTAAAGTATTCACACTTTGAAAGTCCATAACTTTGTCTGGGAAGAATATTAATGTTAACTTTTTATGGTTTTAATGAAAACTTCAGGATTTTTAAATGATGCCAAATAGATTTTGATTAGACTAACGAGTCCTGAGAAAATTGAAAGACAAGTCGCTGGAGTCGGATCGCATTATTCTTTCAGTTTGAGTGCGGTTTGAATAGCACAATGGTTTGGCAGGAGGCAGGTTTTGTAGCAAAAATAGAGCCAAATTTGAGGCAAAGGTTTAGGCAAAGGTAAAGGTTTTGAGGAAAAGGTAAAGGTTTTTTCCAAGGAATTTCGGCATAGTGACGCCAATAACGGGAAAGTCGGTTCAGGGTGCAAAAGTAAAGCACCCTATACCAGAGCGGTTTGCCAGGCGGCTAGCGAATACGCTGGTGCATAAAGAACACCACAAACACAGAGATTTTATTTTTCTTTGTGATCGCCCCGCAAGAAGATATTCAGTTGTAAATTATCGTTATCGGGGTCGAGGAATCGCGGTACCAAAAAGCTTTCAGGGAAACGGTGAATGGGATGTGACGAACATCTCATCACTTAGCGCAAGTCAGGGAGGAATGGAAATTGTAAGTAAAAGCTCTGAACCTAAACAATCTTCTTCAGTTATGTTATATGCTCAGCATTCGAAGAGTACCAAATTTCTATGTTTACGTGATCGCCACTCCTTGTTTCATTCTGACAACTCTGTCAATTGTGGGCATGTTCTGGACACCGAATATTAAAAAGGAGCAACTTGTTAAGGTAAAAAACAAACTGAAGTAAAAAAAAATTAGACACGTAGATTGTTTTAGTCTAAATGTAAATCTTTTCTCATTTCTCTTTACCTTTCAGCTAACGATTGGTCTGACAAGTCTCGTATCGATGACTGTTTTGTTGGATATGCTTTCAAGTGCTATTCCGAAAACATCCGTCTTTCCATTGTTAGGTGAGAGTGAACTTTCCTTCAAAAGTTGTATACCTGTTAAACAACTTTTTAAAGTAAACGAGTCAAGCCTGGCTTGTTGAAATACTCGTTTAAACTAGAACAGGCTCTAGTTTACAAGTTTGATGGGTCAAACCTGCAGCAAACGGTAGGTTTGCGTGGCTTGGAAAAATTGCATCTTTATTATTCGTTCCCATTTATATAAATTTCAGGAATCTATGTCGTTTTTTGCGTGGCAATCACTTCATTCGCTTCTGTTGTCATCACTCTTCATTGTTTACCAAATCCCAAAAAGCACCATGATCAGAAACAAGATGAGAAATTGTCTGAGACTGAAAAAGAGACTTTAAAAACAAGCAGGTAAATAATTTGAAAAGAAAGAAAAATCGAAATTTCTTTAGTTTCACTTCTACAGTGATTCGTTTCATTACCAGCATCCTACATCGAAATTACTTTCTCTTAATTTTCTTTCAAATCTTGAATTTGATTGGTTTCATAGTGTTTTTATCGTTTTGGAATTAATTAATAAAGATTTCTTTGTATTAAATTCTTCAATTGATCTCTCTTTACATTTACATGCAATGAACAGGACAAGAACATTTTAATATTCCACAAATCTGTTGACGTTTCATCCTTTTATCATTTCATCATTAAAGATGTCATCACAACTGGGTAATTTAATCAAAAAGTTGCCGAAAGCAGTTAAAATCTTCATTCTAACCAAACAGAAAAGCTGCTCTGAGAAATTTAAATGGATTAGTCATTGCATAAACATTGACCAAATATAATATAATTGAGTATCCTTGGAAAGGACTTTAAAATCGTATCGATGACTGTTTTGTTGGATATGCTTTCAAGTGCTATTCCAAAAACATCCGTCTTTCCATTGTTTCCAAGCACCAAACAGATTAAAAAAAGTTGACACTTTTGTTTATTCACTTTTAAATAAATCGTAATTTTAATTTAATATTCGCTATCTAAAAGTCAAATCTCTGTCCTCCAAATCAAAGAAAAGAAATTTTTCAATACACAACATTTCACCTGCCTTCTACAACGAGCAACTTAATGAGCAAATGATTCAAGCCATATTATTGATCTTCATTCTCAAACTTATGAATAACTCAAATATAATCGTTTATGAACGACCTGATATTTACATTGATTATGCTTATATATCTCTTTTTCTCGGGATTTTGATAAACTTCTTTACTCTTTGGGTGATACTGACTGTATCTCTGGAATTGGCGAGCACTTATCGCTGGCATCTCGCTATTTATCATGTGAGTAGAGTAGAGATATGAGAATTTTACCGGGCCAAGCCAGGCAAGCCTAGGGCCAGGCCAGAACCAGGCCAGAACCAGAAGTCAGGTCTTATTGTTAGTCTGATCCGCCGGACTGACCAACAAAGTCCAACCAGACCTGAATCTAGCTTCATCAATCAAAACCAATAAAAGCCATCAACTTGTCTGCCATCAACCATCAACTTGTTTCCAGTTTTGGTCAATCTTATTCGAAATGGTTATCCACGGCGCAATGCCAGAATTCTTTTTCCAACTCTCTCGGCCACATGCTACGGTCCATTTTATCGTGCAGGAATCCTCAGCATGAGAGGACTAATTGTAAGTGATGTTTGTTATAAGTAGAATTCGAACAACAAACCATAGGTGTCCGCGGCTTTCGTGATTCCGTCGATGATCCTTGGCGCCTATCAATGTTTTGCATATCGACACTGGCTCTTGTTGAGGAATGACAGCTTTTTGAAGTAAATTCAGTCTTTTGCTAAATCATAGAAAGCTCAGATTTAAACCTATCACTTTTGGAGTTATAATTGTGCTTCATTACATTATTTTGAACACATGGGTCGTCAGCGGAGTTTTGGCATTTCCGATAGTTTGTGGGCCGGAGACTGAAAATCTACAGAACATTCTTAAGGTAGGTGTTTCAATGTCTCGGAACTTTATTCCAAAGTGAGAAGCCAGAGTCAGGGTAAGACTGACCAGTTAGAGTTAGACTTGTGTAAACTTATTAGGGAATTTTTTCAAGTCGAGTACAAGATGTCAAGCCCTGGCCGATCTAATCGAGTTTTATCGGAGATTCTGAATTTGCTTTTAGTTTTTCTGGAACGCAAAAAGCAAAATATAAATTTTCTTTGCAATTTGAATTTTTAAAATTTAGAATTCAATTAAACAAAAAAGCAAAAAGAGTGAGCAGTGAAGGGATTCGAATTAGGCGCAAAAAGAGAGTACGGAGAAGTACTCTGATGTCAAAAAGACATCAAAGTACAGTTAGGAAATAATGAAAAAACTTGTAAAACAGCCGAAAAAGGCCAAATTTTGTATTCCAAATTTCTCTCGTTACAGAAGCGTTTCGGAAAAACTAAAACCAGATTCAGAATCTCCGATGAAAACTCTATCAGATACGTTATAGCTTATGTGAAAACTAGAACTTGACTTGCAAAAATTCTCTAATTGAAGCTGTTGCTGTTTTTGGAAGTCATAGCTCTGTCATAGTCGAATTTCCCTTGTCCATTTCAGCAATATCCATCATTTGCTTACCTCGGCACTCTTCAAGACATTTGCAGTGTTCATTATGCTCCTCTTTATCCACCATACATTATGGTATCATCGATTACAGTACTCGTGTCAGCTATATTGGGCATGGCTGTTTATCTGATTCCGACGGTAAGCCAGTTGAAAATAAAAGAATAAGGGAAAATCTCGAAACTAAGGAAACAAAGGAAACTTACCATTACAGGCTATTCTCACGATTTGGCACTGCTTTCACATTCTCAACGACAAGAGCTCCTACATGAGCAAAAAACAATCAGTTTACATCGGAAATATCTCTACACATTGACGCAAGGGGTAAGTTTTGTTTAGAAAGCCATAAAGCCCTACTCTAGCGGCAGTGGGATACGTGTTGGTGTAGCTCATTCGTAGAGTGTTTCCCTGGTAAGTCAGCGGTCGCTGGTTCGAACCCGGCCACCGTGCATCTATTCCCAGCCCCAACCCGTCCAACTATAAGTCATTTTTTACTAGATTAGCAAGTAGAAATCTTGTCTTTCTACTGTATTTCGATTTTAAATCTCGTCTTTCTACTGGATGAATATATACAACAACCTTAAGCTTTACTGTTTCAGATTTTGGTTCCAATCACAACGATCGCCATTCCTTTGATCATATTGGTAACTATTGTCGTCGGAGAAGTTTCCGTTTCTCAAGGTCTGACAAGTTCTCAAGTTTTCAATTTTCATCAATACCCAGCCTTTCTCAACTTTACCGTTGCGATCGCCTACACGCACACAAAGCTCTCATCTTGCAATATCATTTTCACATCAAAACTCTACAAAAGCTATTTGCTTCGTTTGATTTTTAGAATTTTGAGACGGTTTTCATCAATTATTTTTAGAAATTAGTTCAATTTACAGGAAAATTCCCGTCAATTTGATTGTGCCGAGTCAATTTACAAAGAGCAATTTCGAGCGGACGATCATGCCAGAGATGTCACGGGTCAAATAATCTAAAAATCTAAAAATCTCGCAAAACTATTACAAAAAAATCATGCTAAATGCATAAAAATACCGAAATTTTACTGAAAACTTTCTAATAATTAAACAAAAAATTCAAATTTCAGGTAAATTGAGCGTGATTGAGGGATACGTGTTGGTGTAGCTCATTCGTAGAGCGTTTTCCTAGTGAGCCAGAGGTCGCTGGTTCGAACCCCGCCTGAAGAATTATCTGATTTCTTCTCTTTGTGTACATTTTCTGAAGTTTTACTTGAACAATATTTATTCTTCGAAAAAACGAATCAAATTTCTTTTTATAAAAGCCATAAATTTCCAACTGACTCGATTACAAATAAACATAATATAAAGGACAACAAATTTCCCAGCCGAATTTTTCAATCGATAAAGCTTTCGCTTGTTCTCTCCATGAAAATCAACAATCGTTTCCGGAGAAAGGTAGATTTTCTCAAAATATTCAAAATATTTCAAATCAAAGTCTTTCTTTAGTTGATCATAGATTTGGGAATTGTCATTAAAGCTCAATTCTTCAACATTTAAAAGCGAATTGATTGAATTGCAAACATTTTGACAAACTTCGTCAAAAGTTTCGTTTTCACAGAGTTTCCCTTGAATCAGAATCGCTTTTCGATCAGGATTTTGACTAGGGATTTCTTTTAAGACCGACTTTAAACATTTGAAATCATCCAAATCAAAGTTTTTATCGAAAAGTACCAAATCTGTATTGATTTTCTTCAGCACTTCGTAAAGAATCTCACTTTTCGGGGTGTAAAATTGCTTGACTTTAGCTGATCGAATGTTCGGTTTGAAAAGGATTTTCTCGAAATCTTCTATTTCAATCGAATATGCATTTGTTTCGTATTGAGTTGAGCTCATGTCTTTTCCACGAAAATCCAAAGTAAAATTCTCAACAACATTCAAATAGAAATCATCGATGAATTTTTGAGCAAAAGACAGGTTAATCGCCATTTCGAATGAGGAAACTGCTCGGAGATTGGAGAATTTTCGAGCAAATATTTCTAGATCTTTTTCAATATTTCCATTCACTTCATCATCATATCGACAATGCCAGAATTTTAGAGTTTGACAAGAATTGAGTAAATTCAATATAAAGAAAGGATTCTTCATGTCAAAGCCTCCTTTTGAGTCTATCCAAATCCCATCCATTGCTCTGATTTCGATCTGTTTTCCATTTTTTTGGCGCAATCACTATCTCAAAAGTCGATTTTTCAATTTTCGGATAATAGAAAATAGAAATTGAGCGAACTTTCCGCAATGGTCCATTTTTTAGAAGAAAACTTCTGCACTTTTTATCCGTTTTGAGAAAATTTAATGCATCAAAGAAATCGATTTGGCGTAACGATAAATCTTTGAGCTCTTCGGGTAAATTTTTCAAAGGGATTTTGATCATAGCGAAAGGTGAATACAAATATTCGTAACAAAAGCTTAGATTCAAATAGGAATTGAAGATTTAAGCAAGTAGGTTTTTCGTTGAATCAACGCTTTTTAAATCTTTGATGCCATTTTTAAATTCGCTAATCGTTTCCCCGTCATTTGGCCTTTTGTGTAGGGCTCTTTTTGGTGTGAAGTGGGAGGAGAAAGTTTGTGCTTGACAGCTTTACAAGCATCACATTGTCTAAAGAAATAAATCCACCTAGCTGCTTGAAAAAGGTTATTCTTAAAAGTAAAAAATGATAAAGCTTAAGAATTTGAACTGTAGAGATTTTGAGGATTTTTTGAAAAAGCAAAAGTTAAAATATTTCACAAACATCAATCCAACATGAGCTATTTAGTTAAAAGTTTGTCTTAGATTCATCATTTCGGACACTAGCTATTATCAATTTTGATGAATTTGATCGGGAATTTATAAAGAATTCCGACTAGAATGCAATTCTTGAATGGCTCTCAGTTATGAAAGGTTCGAACGCTAAAATCTCGTACTTGTTCGTTGATTATTTTGTTGCAAAGATATTAAAAGAAGAAAAGAACATTGAACGTTGATTAAAAGAACATTTCAACTTGTTAACAACTTACGTTTTCACTACAAGACCTTCCTCACTTCCGCTGTGCTAGTGTTCGCGATCATTAGTCATAATCATGACATTCACAACAGCAATAATTGTAAGCATAAAACAATATTTTGTTGTGTAAACACAATTAACTTTTATAAAGCGTAGACTTAGGCTTATCGCCTGTCATATCCGATTTAGACTCAATCTCCATCTAACCCTTTAAAACAGGAATTTTTCTTTTACTTTGTAGATGGTATAAAAGAAGATATTGAGCTGAAAATTTGAAATCGGAGGTTTTCGGGATTGGGGAAACGATTGGTGCTGTTCATTTTATTGAGTCTATCAACTGGAACTTGGGTTTAATTGGTTGAAACTTACACAACTTACATGCTGTTTCATTCATTCACCTGACGATTCATCCACTCATGCTGATTAGCATGAATGGATGAACTGTGAACTGAACATTATTTGCTACTCCAATCAATTGATTCAGCGGTCAAAATGGAGCAGCAATATCGTAAAATGTGCAATGTTTTCTGACCGAGCACCACGAAAATCAGCTGGTCAAAAGATGGGACGTTCTCTTTTATCTCGAATGATATCGCTTTGATTCGTAGATTTCTTAAAGTAACTAATAGTTTTCTTCGGTTAAAAGAGCCTCTGTATTTCGGGAAAGCTCAATCGAATCAGAATCCCGAAAACGATTCATTGATCAGATTGGGTGCGTACCAAGGGAAAAGCCCAGTCACCGCTTCTTTCACCGTCAGTCACCGCTTCACAGCGATTCCAAAAGGAAAGCCCGTATACCAAACGTGTTTGCCAGATGGCGAGCGATCACGCGGTCAGACAAAGACTTTTGCACAGGGATTTTTCTTTTGCTTTGTAGATGGTCCCAAAATAAGATATTCTCAGCTGTAAATTTGTATTGGTGGTTTTCGGGGTCAGGGAATCGAAAGAAGTTATTTATTTTATTGAGTCTACGATTTCTATAATTTGGTTTTCCTTTTTGAAACCTAAACCAATAGATTGTGAAACTGATGTAAGAAATAGAAATGATTCTCGATCTTTAGAAATAAAAATCTGATAAGAATGGCAAGAAAATACAATGAAGGCTTTAGCTTTTGAAAGGCCAAAATAGAAACAAAATTGTTAAGCGCCTTAAAATTTGTGTGTCGAATGTGAGGAAACCGTTTTCGTACTTGGAAAAATTCAAAAGCGATCTGAGGAATTCTGACGTAACTGAGCAAAGAAAAGTATATTTAAGGAAAGAGTTTGGGCTGTTGGAAAGCAGATAAACTGTGTACTTTCTTTAATAATTGTTTAACAACAGTTTTTTTACAAAAACCTTTAGAATGTTCAAGCTAGTTGTGCTCTTTGACCATCATCTTCGGCGTCAGCGCTTTCGGCGAAGTTGGGGTAAGTTTTAATGTTCATTAGATATAGATAAATGTGTTACGGTAGAACTTTAGCTTACTAATTACAAAACTTTAGTCAATTGGCTTGATCTTGAATGCTTTTAATTGAGTATCGCATTTTTTCTAATAAAAAGACCCTCGTATAAGCAGCAAAAGTGTCTCAGGCTTTGAAACTGAAACTTGACTTAATAGTAAGGCCTGTTATCTCGGGAAAAACTGTTCTAAAGATGATTCAGATTAAACGAAAGATGATGTCTATCAAAAATGCAACTATTGACTAACAAACTTTCAGCAACAATGTATCTCAGCAAAACCGGAAACTGGGAACGGTTGTGGAAAAGGGAACCAGTGTGCGTATACGAAGTGTTTCTTTGTACGTGGTGTTCTGATTTGCTCTGGTTACTGTACACCAATCACTCCTTCATCACCACCACCGGTATCTCTACTCTTGTAGCCATTCTTAACTTTCTCTAGCTTCATTTCGTTTTAAACAAAATTCGAAGTATATTGTAGAGCCACTGGACTGGTATTATTGGCCTACTTTTATGCAATCTTGTTCATGATCTAGAAAGTAACTGTAAAGTAAGAATAAACACGAAATAAGTTGAACATTTTAGCGCTCGTGCAACACAAATGCGGATTGTCTTGCAGGCGAGTATTGCCCACAAAAGTGTCGACTAAATTGGGCAACAGAAGTGTGTTCTGGGACTTATTGTGCTCCAATCCCGCCAACCACCGCCGCCACAACGACAACTACCGAAATTAATGTTGGTTTTGACAACTACATCACCACAATTTCGGGATTTTTAGTACTACTTTTCCAGAGTACTGCATTCTGGGATTTAATAGTAATTTTCAGCGCATCTGTTACACGAATGGTGAGTGCAGACAAAATGAGTATTGTGATTCGACAAATTGTCGTCCAAATTGGTCCGAAGGATGCCGGGGTGTTTGCCGTGTAAAAACATCGACTAAATACTAAATACGTTTGAATAAATTGTTACTGAATTTTATTTTAAGGTCCAGGAACCTGCAGTAAAGCAAGACTAGATCTGCGGCAAGGTTTGGGTTCTAGCCTTGCCTGGTCGGGTCCACTTTTCTTTGCAACGAAAAGTCAAAACTGTACAATTTGTTTGCTCTAATTGCTTTGTCTAAAGTGAAGTGGGTAAAATTTTCTTTTTTTTTGCCTGTGTCTTGTTGAAATCGTAAAAACAAGGGAATTTTTTTTGTTTGTTTAATCACTATTTGTACACCTTTTGTAGTAGTAGACAAGAAAAAAAGAGCTATTTAAATAAAAACAAATATTCAGAAACAGATACAGCCGAGCACGACATCAACTTTGTTGAGATATAAAAAGGCAGAAATTTTGAAGCCAATCATAAGCCTTAAAAAGCCTTAAAAATTGCTATTTCCTCATGTTTTCTTCTGCTCGTTTTAGCCTAACTTTTGCGGTAAGAGATTTTCCCTAACTTTCATGAACCTTAAACTTTAGTGCGGGTTTTCAAGTGCTCAATCATCTCTTGATTTGTCACCAACAACGCAAAACAATGATCCAATTGATATCAGTGAGGAAACATCAATTCCTCCCGTATCCAGCTCAAAACAGCGGCAGGTTGCCAATCACAGGTAAAAGGAAACGGGGAATTTATTAACGTAAACTCTCTAATATTAGGTTAAAACATAATTCTTGATCGCCTTTTTAGAATTCTTTTTAGAAATGAATAATGCGTCTTTTAATCAACGGTTTCTTTAATTAGTTTACTACTTTTCTGCAATAGAGCATTGAAATCTTGAGAAAATTGATGGAAAGATGAGTCGTTTTATGGGGTTTTTTGAGAGAATTTTATGAAAAATTAGTTGTTACACCCGGATTTGGTTAAAAACAAATCAAAATTGGCTTAAAAGCTAGAAAAATAAGCAAGAAAGATTTTCTATTTGAAGCAAATCATAGGATATTTGGGTGGCTTTTTCATTTTTCTAAACAGAAATAGAAAAAAAGTGATCAAGACTTCTGTTCGGACCTAATAGACGATCAAGACTTCTCTTCGGACCTAATAAACGATCAAGACTTATGTTCGAACTCCCACTCTTACTATTAGAGAAATTTTTCATTTGTTTCGAATTTTTTCAACTCTAAAGTTGAATAGTGACAAAGTCTTGAATCTTTTAAAGATTTCAAGTGTTTCAACTGTTAGATAGCAGGCTAAAAGGCTGTCTTTGGGGCTAGATAAATCAAACCTATCAAACTTACTCATTTTGAGGCCTTCCAAACTTTGGTGTATTGTAATTAGGGCACGAAAAAGATTTAGAAATAAATACGATGGTTTCAGGCTGAAAGCGAGAAGCCAATTGTAGTGGCTGGTGAAGAAGGGAACGCTTCCCCGACGCTTCTCCCATTTCCAACTCTACCTCCTTTCCCCACATTCCCCTCTTTTACTTTCCCTCCCTTCCCCAGCTTTCCCCCATTCCCATCTTTCTCACGCCCACACTTCTACCTTTCCCATCATTCCCAGCTTTTCCAACATTGCCCACCATATCAACAGTATCTCCACAAAATCTTCTGCAATGTCTTTTTGAGGTAACCTAATCAATAACTCATCTTGTAATCCTTTTTTTAGTCGGGCACATTTGTATCCGGAATTGTCTGAACAATGAGGCTGGTAGTCCGAAGGTAAAAAAAAACTGCAAAAAGCTTTTCTACAGAAAATCTTAGGAAACATTTTCATGCTACAACCAGACACAGTGCTCAACAGGACAGGTGTGTTGTACTGCATTCGAATTGCTATCAATTTTCTCTCCACCTTCCCAGCAACAAGTAAGAAATATCGAAAACTTTTAAAACTAAAGCTTTCCAGCAAAACGGCACTTGTCAGCCTTTTTTCTGCCCTTTTGGACAAATTCCTCTGTGAAATTATTTACGATTGTATTTATTGACTAATAAAGGATAATAAATTCATAGAAATTTTGGGCTTCCTTTTTGCTATAAAGAACCAAGTGCACACTCATAACTCATTGTTTGCTACTAATAATAGAACTAATAATAGAACTAATAATAGAACTTCTTCGTAACTGCAAAGAAACTTAAACATTCTTGCCTAGTAATGGGTCGAATACTGGTTTGGTTAGTAAAGACTTTTAAAATCTCAATCTTCTCAGTCAAGTACAAGTCAATTAAAATCAAGTTAAAAGTTAGCTTTGACTGATTTAGCTTCAGATATATTTTAATGTTTATTGACACCATTGTACCCTAAAATAGAAACTTCATTAATTCATGAGTTGTAAATGATTGATACATTCAAGAAAGGTGATACAAAGTCATAAATGAAGGCTTTTATCTATTTACTTTTAACCTTTTTTTTGTGGCTTTTTCGGCAGCAAACGCAAAATTTCCTGTCTAATTTTGTCGGCGAAAAATTTTCCATGCCTTTCTTCATCCGTTTTTCCGTCATCTAAAGAACAGAAGTATAACAATACGTGAGATCAAACTTGATTTTATTTTGATTTCGATTTCACTAACATTTTGCGTGGTTTCACTTTGTGGTGAAAGCAAATCAGCGACAAAGCAAACAGTTCATTCCACATTGTCCAATGGAAGCAGTACATTTAGACACTTTGACAAAACGGTGATTGTGTCGGATGCCTCGAAAATTTTGCCGCTGGGTGATGAGGTTGGTAAGAGACAAGGACAAAATTTTGTTCTTGTTCAAAACAAGAACAAGAACAAAATCTTGGCCTTGGCGTGGCTATGCCCAGCTCGAGGGAAAATGGAAATCGCTTTTGACGCTGTGCCGGCTTGATTAGATTTCTCGAAACAAACCAGACATTGAAGAAGTGTTTACTTTTCGAAAAAAACAAAAGATAAATGCTCAAAAATTTCTCTTTTCTTGAATGATTATTTTCTTTTTATGAACCAGGCACTTTAAAGTAGAAAACAATGGGTGGACGAGTGGAGGAGATACCCCAAAACCCCTGAACTGAGCTGCGTTGATGAAAATCGTTTTCCCGTTGCTCGCCACCCCGTAACCAACCATGAACATGACCGAAGCAATGAAATCTAAATATTCTGATTTAAAATCGGATGCAGGATATGAATTTTTGGGAATTCTACGGGAGGGGGAATTTATAGAAAATAATGATAAACTTAAAGCAAAAATTGATTCGAAGAATTTGGGCATAGTGATCGCTCAAAGCGCGGGAGGCTTCAGCCGACCACCTCCGCTTCCACTTTGAGGATTCCAAAGACCCTTAGACCAAAGGGATATGCCAGAACGATTATGCGGCTGCACAAAGAACACCTTTTACACAGAGATTTTTCTATTTTGGATGGCCCCAAAAGAAAATATTCAAGTTTTCGGGGTCAGGGAATCGATTGGAGCTATTCATTTTTCCTAGTTTCTACCAATTGAAACTTGGGCTTAATTGGTCTAAATTTTTAGACTCTTATAAAGAATCTTAAATAGATTCTTCTTTTGCTTTTAAAAAAAGAGTCACTTTTGCTAATTGATGTTTAGCTTTTCGTATTTACTTGGGATTTCTTGCTTCAACCGCTTTCAACAGTTCAACATCTCCATATCGTCCATCTAGAAAACCTGAAAATTTACTTTAAAATTCACCTATAAAATCTAGGAAAAGTGAAACCTTTTGGTGGTTGATGTGTGATGAGAATGTCGACATTGTCGGGGATTTTCGCCCATTTCTCTCGAGTCTCCTCTCCGGGTTCACAGTAGAAAGGCGGAGTTGAGAAAAGACGATAGTTCATTGTATGCCACGAACTTCCGTAGAGTTTAATTCCCTCAATCTACATTCATAAAGGTTTACATGAATTTTTCCTTTTCAAACCTCAATAGAAGTATCGTTTAACAGTTCGCATGCCGTCAAAAGTTTTGCCTTTTCGCTGAAAAGGGACTGATTTGAATTGAATTGATTGAAGTTACTAAAATTGTGCATCGAAACCGTTCTCGTGATTGCCCGCGATGACCACTTTCCGTCGATGGGGCAATTGTGCGAGTTGATCGTTGAACTCTCGTACCCTTTCCTCATCACCGTGATTCGTGAAATCTCCACAGTGAATGAGGACGTCACCATCGGGGATTCGATTCTGTAATGAAATAAACGAGATTAGACATTTTAAACAGCACTACATACAACTCTTATACAGGGTGCGTCATAATTGTCGCAAAAGGTATCACGCGCGTTATTCCGATAACTACCTGGCTCTTCTCTAGGCTGAACTCTTGCCCCGGGGCTCGTAAAGATTTCGGAATTCGCATTTGAACTTATCAGCAAGATGGCGCACCGGCCCACAAATCCAAGAAAGTCCAAGGGTTCTGCCAAAACAACTTCCTGGACTTCATTTCTTTTTTGATTGACCATCTAGTTCTCCAGACCTCAACCCAATGAATTTTACAGTGTGATCGGTTCTAGAAGCCAAAGCTTGTTCAAAGCCTCACAAAAACATCGAAATCTTAAAGAAATGACTGTTGAAAGCGTGGGAAGAGCTCGATCAAGCCTATTTGGTCGCCACCGTTGACGCCTTTCCGAAACGCCTGCGAGCCTGCTCAAATGCTAATGGTGGCCGATTCGAATTTGATAATTGATTTATAATTGTTAATGTACAATAAATGTTATTCAGGTAAAAATTTGTCTTTTTTACTCTTGTCTGCCTTAAAATCAGAACTTTATCTTGTTGCGACAATTATGGCGCACTCAATATTTAGAAAAAATCATTGTGCATTCAGGATGTGTCATCAACAGGTTTGGTATAAAAGCTAAATGCTAAACCAAAGCTGAGTCATAACCCAGGTCAAAGGCAAGCCAAGTCAAAGCCAATGGCTTTCAATCGATCTTGACCTGGAATTTCAATCCTATCGTTAGAGTTGGCGTAAAACCTTAGAAAATCTTGCCTTTATTCTACAGTTAGCTCGGCCTAGAATTTACGAGAATTGCGCAAAGATGGCTGGGCTTAGCCCTGGCCTAAATTTGGCGCTTTTTCCAACCCTGATCATCAATACTAATCATTTCTTCACCTCCACTCACCATAATTTTTGCCATTTCCTCATGCGTATCGGAGATCACCACAAATTTCAGCCAAATTCCCGTTTCATCTGGTGAATTAACCGCACTGAAAGTGGGAAAGTTTGAAAAGATGTTAAAAAACCTAGTGAAATGTAAAAAAACAAACTTTTCCAGCAGCACATCTCCGCTTTTTGTCTCTTCTCGTCCGAAAAGCGAAATGTTTGTAAAAGCGTTGATGATTCTTCTCATTTAGCAATTTGTTTGAAGAAATTTTGAAGAAAGATTAGTGGTTTGAAATAAAAATTCAAATAAAATATTAATTTAGTTGAAAAATATTCTTTTCTCTGAGAATAGCAGAGTTTGAAGGGTGATGAGTGAAAAAAGAAGAGAGAACACTGGAAATAGGGAAACTAGAGTCAGCAAAGCTGAGAAAAGAGTAAAGGAGATTTCGAAATAAATTTTCTTTGTTGAGCTTACGAAAGTGACTTCGAAATCATCTTTTTAGTCTGTAAACAGATTGAAAGCTTGTTAATCTTTTCGAATTTTCTCCTTATTTTACTGCTTGTTAACTTTGAGTAAAAATCAATCTCAATGAGTTTTGCTTTAAGTACTTGAGAAGAAAATCCTGAAAATTGTTGAAAAGTGATTCTCCATTTTCTATTGAGTTGGAACATCTGAAATGTCGGATACTTTCCCGTGACCGATATCTTTCATCTCCCCATAGATCTTTTTAATTTTTTGATATTATATTATCGCAGGGATCACCCTTGCTCGTAAAAATGCTTTACGCGTTTTGTTGAGATCGATGGGCTTAAGTTTTAGAAAACAACGGAGATTACATTGTTGACTAATGAAATTAACGTAAATAAAAGGATTCTTTTCACTTTTGTGTACTTTAACCTGAAAAACACTTTCGTGGGAACACTTTCTCTGTGGAAATCCACAGTCGTAAACCTTCTGGCACACAGGCAGTTCATTTACCCAATTTTAAGGTTAAAAGTTATTCCACCACAGATTAATTTAAGATTTTGGGTATAGTAAGTATTAAGTATTCTCAGTTAAATGCTAAAGTTAAAGCCAATTTCATGGTAGTAAGCGAATTGCGAATAACATAAAGATTTAGTTGTTTGAGCTGCTTGTTCTCAGCAGACACACCACAGAACAGAGCAGACACACCGCAGACACACCACACTCTCAAAGTTTAAACATGATATGTTTCATTTCTCTAATATAACATTTCAAAAAAATTAAAAAGATCTATGGTGAGATGAAAGATATCATGGAAAAGTATCCGAAATTTCATATGTTCCAACCTAATAACATTGTGAGATCTGTGGATCTGCAAGTTTTGATAAGAAGATTTTATTCTATCAACCCATATAGAAAAAACAATTAACTTGACTATAAATACGAATTATTTAATTCAATTGTTAATTATAAGAGTACTGTAAATACTTTGAGAGAATAGAAGAAAAACGAGAGACATTTGAATCGAAGAGAATAAAGAAAAAGCAGTTTTTAGCAAGAAATCCAATCCGAATCTCAAAAAAAACTAGGATTTTGAAGCTGAATACTATCTGAGTTTAAATTGTTGTAATAATAACGGAATATGTATGGATCTGGATACGCTAACCATTGAAATACTGAAATTACGATTGAAATAAAGAGCGTAAGAAAGGCCGAACGATTCGCAACCGATCATCCCGGCCAATTCTGCTTTTTGCATCTCTATCGTCGAGCCGCTTTCCACGGCTTCGAACGACAGCCCTCATACAACTCGGACGCAAAGAAATGGCAATTGCTTTTGTGTAACATCATAGGTGTTGCCGGAGCTCGTCATTATTGATAATCCATTCAATAATATTGTAAATCGTTTCGTTGTATCCCACGTTCCCCTCTGAGCGCCCCTCTGGTTGAATCGTAGGGCTTCGAGAATCTCCATCCAACTTCGCTTTCACATCGACTTCTTTCGACGAGCGCTGCAACATAGATACCACCCATTTGCTTTTCGAAAGACCAGTACCAATTTGTCGACTCGATCACAACGTACTCGTGCCAGTCTCCAATAAGACCCCAAGTTACCCAAGTTACCCAAGTCCTGAGAGTATGTTTCCAAATTTTTGCCGTCAGTATTTTCTCATCATTCGTGCCCTCTAACTTGAAAATATTCAACAATTGCTCTTTCCTGTACTCATTTTTAATAGGTCCAGGATTGTAGCTGATGTAGAACAAAGTGCTCTTCCACTTTCCACTGGTACTGCCACTGAAATTAAAATGATTGGTTTCTCACAATCGTCTATGGCAATGAATGTTTATTTTCTGCTTTTTAGCCGTCTTTGAAATTCTAACACCTAAAAAAGATGCACAAAATTGCTTTTTAGCGAACCAAATAAAACACTGCTCATTCTCATTTGCTCAAAGAGTTCTCAACATGTAACTTAATAAAATCACAAGCCATAGCCTATCTTTTTTTCGGGATGGCCCATAGAACAATATTTTGTCAATAAGAAGCATTTTAACCGTTATGCTGACAAAAACTTACGGGCTCATCTCGAGAAAAGAAACAAACGAATGTTTTGACCCTGACGGCGACACCTAAAATAGATGATTGACATTGTTATTTAGGTCAAAAAAGAGATCATTTCTGAAGAGAAGGGTGCTTTATGAAAGTGCTGAAAATGAGAAGCAAAATATAGAAAGTTATCAAAAAGGCTGACTCTGCTAAATGCTAAAAAAACCAAAAATAAAAACTCTATTGGAAATCACAGTCTCTTGCAAAGAAAATGTCAACAGATGCTCCTTCCCTCTTTGCGATTGTTGCAAAGAGAAGCGAAAAAAAGCCATAGATCTTTCTGTTTAAAGTGTCACATTAAAGAGTACTTTCTTTTGAAACGATCCTCGAATAATCAGTAAACCTGTGATCCCCTTAAACTTTAAAGCACTGCTAATGTGCTGAAAGACGGACTTGCGGGGCACCCAAGGCAAAGAATCAATAGAGATTGATGCAGTCATTTTAAAAAAAGTAGAAAATTCGAAGTAATCGAGCAGAATGTTCTCGCGGAGTTCTCTTCTCTCTTATCACACAGCAAATTTCTTTCGACACAAATCTCATTTCTTTCTCTCATTTCAAGCTTCGTAAGAAAAGTGAAGGCTGTGAAGTTAACGTATAAATATTCATTAGATACAGCGGAATATGATCAAAGCTCATGATTTTTTTCTTTTTGTAGATTTTTCTGTTTAATGTGTCACATTAAAGAGTACTTTCTTTTTCTTGAAACGATCCTCGAATGACCAGTAAAACCTGTGATCCCCTTAAACTTTAAAGCACTGCTAATGTACTGAAAGACGGACTCGCGGAGCATCCAAGGCAAAGAAGGACAAGTGGGGCTCTCATCACTTGGAGTCTCCCCTTCCCCTTTCATTCATTGTGAATCGATTCGTTTTGTTGTACTACTGTAAACAAAGGTACACATCTTCCGGGTCTATGCAACTGTCATTTCTCAAGGGACTCTCCTCTAATACGTTGGAGGAGTTGGGTCGGGCTGTCGGGTTGTTAGAGATGGCAGGATATCAAAAGAGATACACCGTTTTTAGCTTAACCCAAATTCTAGTCCATACTCGTTTACTCCTACCGTAAATACTGTAATTGGACCCCATGGGGTACTATTTCCCTCCCCCCCCCCTCCCCCTCCCCCTCTAGGGTGGGGTACTATTAGAGGGTGGGGCACTATTAGAGGGTGGGTTACTATTTTACACCACTATTCGAGTTACCAAATCAGGATACATCCAAATAATCGGTTTAAAAGCAAACTTTTTCTTTAGTTTTTATTGGTTTCAGCCATTTGAAAATTTAACAGCAAAACGAAACAAAAAACAACTAACAAGCGAAATCAATAGTCAGTCATCACTCAATGAATTCATCGTTTTCTTGATCATCAATTCCTCGATGTCCCTGAAATCCCGTCGATGCGAGCGGCTCCAAGAGGTCCTCAATTTCTGTCTCTGTCCGAGCATTTCTCATCGCCTGTATAATAGATTAAAGATAAGTCCCCCGAAAGAGCGTTACAAGTATTCCGCCGTGATCTCATTATCGAAGCACTTGCTTTTCTTCCTTTCCAACAGAGCTTCGATTGGAACTTTGTCTCGATTTTTTTCGTTCATCGTTTTTCGATGCACCACGACAAAAGGGCGCAACTTTTTCCCATCGGAACGAGCAGTGAGCATCACGGATATACTCATCTTGTCATAGCCGCGGGTGAGAACACCAACTTCTTTGGCTCCAACCGCTTCGATGCACTTGGTTCGGAAGCATCCAGCCAAGCCGCCGTCTCATCGCAAGCAACAATGTGCTTGTCTTCTTTGATTGTCTTGTTCAGCCTCAGAATGTGCTCGATAATAGCCTTCTCAAATTCGCTCGGCAGCTTTTGACAAGTTGTTGTTGGTGCCCTCAAAGAAAATTGGTGGCGCCTCAAGAACGACTCCATCCAGCCATGGCTTCTTTTGAAAGAAATTTCAGCTTTTTTTGAATCGATTAGCTGCTTCATTCCAGATAATCACTCGGGTCACTCGTTTCTTCTCGGCTCGACGATCCCGTATCCATTCAGCCAAACCCATATCAATCCCCTCCGAGTTCAAGTCTTCTAAGTGGGTCAATCTTTATGATTTTGGTGTTACTTTGTTGCACTTGTTGAGATCTACAATCATAAAGATTGGTCCACTTAGAAGAAAGTTATGGCGAGCTGCGCAAAAAATTTGGCGCAAAGTAGCCACCCCAGATTTAAAAACAACAAATTTATGGAATAAATTAAAAATACAAACGATTTCTGAAAATACCTGAAAATTTTCCGCTTTAAAAGCGTTGTTTGTAATTACGCGTCAGGTGGGGGTGGGGTACTATTAGAGGGGAGGGATCCAATTACAGTACTTATGGTAGGAACAAGCAAAACCGTAAAAAAACCCAAGAATCTGCAATTCGCAAAGATCAAAAACACTTTGACTAAATCCTCCCAAAGGTTTACTTTACAAGTTGAGTGAGAATTTTTCAATCAATCATTTTTCAACAAAAGTTCATCAACAATTATCAAGACAATTTCATCAACAATTTCCCAAATCACTTGATTTTCGTGTTATCTCAACAAGTGATCTGGAAAGCTAGAGAGTGGCTTTTATTTTTTTCGGCTGAGGATAACAGGGTGAGGGTGAGGATAACAAAACTTTATTTAAAACTAATAAACAACAAACAATTCAAC